GCCGTTTTTTGAATGGAGTTTGGTGTGACAGTGTGGAGCAGAGGGGATTTAAACCTTAATAATTCCCATAAACTGAGCTGACCGACCTTCTAATAATGAACCTTGGAAACAGCAGACAGTAACAGGAAGTGGAGATAAACCCTCCTGTTTTCTTCTTCTGTGGTCTCGTAGTAAAAGGTGGATTAATAAACACAAACCCTGGAATTAGTTTACAGTAACGTCACATTGGACACAAACAGTTAATAAAGAGTGTGAAGCACAGAAACAGTGACAGACAGCAGAAATATGAGATTGAATAAGGTCGCTGTATATGTCAGGACACTCATCAATAACTATTTGTGTGTTTTATATAGAACAACAACACAACAGCATTGTTTGCTGGATATAGGATTTATGCTCCTAATAGATACAAACAATACAGTAATGTTATTTTACGAGCTCAGAATTTACATTTACCACCAGTCAAATTAGAGGCAGTGCTTTCACTTAAAAGGGGGCGGGGCTTGACGCAATGGGACCTTCACCTGTTGAATCATAGAGTTACTACTTTAAATGTCCTACAGTGAGTTATTGTACATAAACAATCAGAGAGAAGATTGGATATTTCTATATAGTTATTGTTAATGTCTGCCACCGGGTCGGATTCCCCTTGAAATCAATGAAACCAGGCAGTAGAAACACTACCGCTGTTGTCCACAGGGGGCGCCAGAATCAACTCAGACAGTTCCTGGAGTGTGACGAGTGTGCCGTCCCCATGGAGCAGAGCAACAGGCCGTACAGGCGGCAACTAACAGTTGATGTGATTGAGCAACTGTAATTAGTGAGAATCAATATTAGATTGTGGAAGCTGCAGATATTTCACTGCTGATAACGCTTTATGGACGCTGTCACTACAGACACAGTTTACACTCATTATGTTATTAAAGGAAATCATCAATCTGAGACATGTGTGGGACATTCAACCTTGTTTAACTTTAATTTAATATTGATATAATATTAATGTCTAATAAAAATGAATATAAATAATTAAAGAAATATTGAATATAATATAAAAATTGAATGAATAATGTGTAGTATTTTATATATTTTTAAATAAAAACACAAGCTGTCCCTTGAGGTGTAATTTCTACCCCACCATACAGAATGTAAATGTCTTTGTATTAACATAAACCAATATAAACAAATATAAACAGATATAAACAGATATAAACAGATATATAGGTAGTGCAGTAACTACAGACTCATTTATCACATATATATTATATATAATACATATTCTGTATTTCTGATTGTTTGAGTCATTAAGAATGAAGCAATCCTCAAATATAATTTTTAGATGTTTAACCAATTAAATGTGTTTAAATTATAACATTTATGGAAACTTGTTTTTAGAATAAGATTCTTGTTTTATAAATAAATTATCTCCAAAATAATGGACCAAAAATAAATCGGTTGGGAACCTGAACAGTTGGTTGAAAACAAGGTTGAAGCGTTGAATGCAGCTCTGATAGGACTGCAGGAGAGTGAGGCTGATATCAGTCACATCAAATAACCAACAGGATCCCTCGTCAGTGTTTAAAGAATGTAAATACACTGAATGCTTTCACTTCATGAACACCTGAAGGATTATAGCTTTAACTATGTTTCCATCAAGCATCAACTTCTAATAACAAAGCTGACGTATGACTATTCTCACCGAAGTTAATATAATAATAATAATAATAATAATAATAATAATAATAATAATAATAATGCACAACTTACAATAATTGCATTTAATCTCAGAAGGAAAACAGTCCCAAATAAACAGCTAAAAGTTCTTAATATTTGTATTTCTTCTTGCACGCTTTGATAACTTGTAAAAATACAGAACACTATAACAGATATTGGTTAATAATTGCACATTGATCCATTCATAAAGAGGACATCATAATATAATTTACACCTGATGGAAACTGGAAGGTTAGTTATTAGTCATTAAACTGGTTCTCGTAGTGTCTGAATCAGAATCAGAATCAGAATCAGATTTATTGCCAGGTAGGTTTTTACACAAACAAGGAATTTGTCTTGGTGCAATGGGGCTTAAAGTATACAATCACACACACACACACACAAAAAAAAAAGATAAATATATAAATCACACAAAAATCACACAAAATAAAGTACTAAAAAATATAGATCAATAAAGATAAGAAAGATAAGAAAAGATAGAAAAACCTTGTTAATGAAGCTGCAGACGGAAAGAAACTGTTTTTGTTGCGAGAGGTTTTGGTCCTGATGGACCGCAGCCTCCTGCCAGAGGGGAGTGGTTCAAAGAGTTTGTGTCCGGGGTGGGAGGGGTCAGCCACATTATTGCCTGCACGCCTCAGGCTCCTGGAGGCGAACAGGTCCTGGAGGGATGGCAGGTTGCAGCTGATCACCTTCTCTGATGTTCAGCTCCCACTTGAGGTCCTGGGTGATAATGGTACCCAGGAAGCGGAAGGACTCCACAGAGTCAACTGGGGAGTCACACAGGATGATGGGGGCGGGTGGGGCTGGGTTCTTTCTAAAGTCCACAACCATCTCCACTGTTTTTAGAGCGTTTAGCTCCAGGTTGTTCTGGCTGCACCAGGTCACCAGATGGTCAATCTCCCATCTGTAGGCGGACTCATCTCCACCAGAGATGAGCCCAATGAGGGAGGTGGCATCCGCAAACTTCAGGAGCCTGACGGACTGGTGACTGGAGGTGCAGCTGTTAGTATACAGGGAGAAGAGCAGAGGAGAAAGAACGCAGCCATGGGGGGAACCGGTGCTGATGGTCTGGGAGTCAGAGTCACATTTTCCCCAGCTTCACCTGCTGTTTCCCTTCAGACAGGAAGTCTGTGATCCATCTGCAGGTGGAGTCAGGCACAGTGAGCTGGGAGAGCTTGTCCTGTAGCAGAGCTGGGATGATGGTGTTGAACGCAGAGCTGAAGTCCACAAACAGGATCCTGGCGTAGGTTCCTGGGGAGTCCAGATGCTGGAGGGTGAAGTGCAGGGCCATGTTAACTGCATCGTCTACAGACCTGTTGGCTCTGTAGGCGAACTGCAGGGGGTCCAGGAGTGGGTCCGTTATGGCTTTCAGGTGGGAAAGCACAAGTCGCTCAAAAGACTTCATGACCACAGAGGTGAGGGCAACAGGTCGGTAGTCATTGAGTCCTGTGGTCCTTGCTTTTTGGGGACAGGGATGATGGTGGATGACTTGAAGCAGGCTGGCACATGACATGTGTCTCTGGTTAATGTACAATAGGTTGATGAAGGTACAATAATATTCTGGTTAATGTGCAATAAGTTGATTAAGATACAATAATATTCTGGTTAATGTGCAATAAGTTGATTAAGATACAATAATATTCTGGTTAATGTGCAATCAGAAGAAACGACACCAACAAAATGAATTAAAACTACATTTATAATTTCTGTTTTAATCAACAAGTCTGTTAAATGTTGAGCACAGATCAGTAAGTGTCTGAGTGGTGGTGGAGATTTCCATGCTTCATTTCCGTCAGACAGAATTCAAATGAGCTGAGTTTATTCAAATCATAAACAGTGGAGCAACACTTGTTTACAGCCAGAGGTGTTTCTACTCATTTACTTTGCTGAATAAGTTTGAGAAGAAATCAGATTACTGCTGGTCTGTGGTGAAGCCTCCTCATTAATACATCCACTGTCACTGTACAAACAATTAGTCATTAAAGTGTTTATGATTCATATCTAATAGGAGCTGATTTCAGCCTTCGTCCACGAGGAGTCAAACAACAATAATAATAATGATTACAGTTGAGATTAAATGAAAAATGTCTTTTTAACCTTTAGGATCACATTTGAGGAAGTTACAAAAACAGTAATATTCCTGCAGCTGGAGCACAAAAAATACTGTAAACAATATAATAATATAAATAACTGACTCGTAAAAATACAGTAATTTACTATAATTAGTTAATATAATCTTGTGTATTTTTTTGGCTTTTAAATATTTAATTGAAGATATTTACACTGTAAAAACAATTAAATTAGATTTGCAAATGTATTTTAATCTTTAGAAAAATAGGATATTTCATATTTTTTAATTACTGCTTATATAAATATAAATAAGCAATAATTATTATTTATATTATTTTACATTAGACATGTAAATTCACAGGATATTTTTGTAATTTTATTAATATGTTCATATATATCTCGGCAAATTTGAATTATAGTTTCCTGCTCAAGTTTGAGTCATACGTCACCAAACTCCCTCGTTTGTGACGTTGAAGATGCGACCAGAACATCTCACATTTACATTTATTAACTGTTTTTATTCTCACTGGAACAATGAAATAGATTCTTTCACTTTCTCCTGCAATCAAATCACAACATGCATCAGAGTTTTATAGAAAGTGGTTAAATCAGCCAGAGAGGGGCTGATATTGTCAATATTGTAGTTCTTGTGTCTTATTAAGAGGCTCCACGGTCCCTTTAGTTCCCATACTGGATAAAACTGATCTGGGTCTGTTTCAAAAGTGAACACCTGCTCTGTGGAACAATAATGGGAAAATGTAAATGTAATCTGCTGCAATCGATCACAGAAAGTATCATAAAATCTGCATCGAATTTGCAACATGCAAAGAACCACACACACACACAGACACACACACACACACACACACACACACACACACACACACACACACACACACACACACACACACACACACACACACACACACACACTCTGTCTCTCACACACACACTCTCTCTCTCACACACAGACACACACAGACACACACACACACACACACACACACACACACACACACACACTCTCTCTCTCTCACACACACACACACACACACACACACACACACACACACTCTCTCTCTCACTCACACTCACATACACACACACACACACACACTCTCTCTCTCTCTCTCTCTCTCTCTCTCACACACACACACACACACACACACACACACACACACTCTGTCTCTCTCACACAC